CCTAGCTTCTTTGTTTGCACAGTATCTGATTGTACTTGCATATAATAATAACGTGACCATCTCTCTTGAAAAAGCACAAGAATCTAACCATATGATTATTGATTACAACTAACTTTAGGCAGTTTAAAATTCCCCTCTCTAGAAATGTTGAAATGAGAGAAAAAGCAACACATCAATTGATCAAAATCCCACCACTTCATTCATGAGCACATCATCAATACTTACACTTCCACATCACATATTTCCTTGACCAAAAAAGGGAAAAAGGAAAATCCAAACCAATCTGCTCTACCAAACACTTTTTCCCCCAAAAAAACCAACTGTTTTTCAAACTACCAACTTCCCTAAAGCTAAAAGCTAATAAAAATCAAAACCTTCCAAGTTCCTAACACAGAAATATCTAATACTTTTTGCTTTTTTTTTTGCTTCACCATTTATCTAAGTAATTCAGGCAAAGACAGCACCACAAGACAGAGCCATGAGAAGAAGGGCAGCTCTCTCAACCTCACCCCATTGCCTCCTCGAACACTTTAGCCTCCTCAGGTTCACTCCCAAGCCATTTCTCAGCTTCGATTTCTTTTTCTTTTTTCCGATTTTACCCTTCTTCGAGTCGGGCTCTGCTGAGTCCTGCTTGGGGGAGTTGGGCATCTTCTTTCTATGTTTAATTCCGCAAGCATTACACAGCGACTGGAAAAAACACGAATCAAGAAATCAGGGAGAATCTCAGAACAAGAATTATCTATTTGAAGGATAAATTTATCCCTTTTCAAAAAAAAAAAAATTAAAATAAAATTAAAAAAATCGAAGATAAAGTGAAAAACCTTAGGGCCTGAAGGGCCACTCCTCCACAAGGGCGTTCTCGTGGTTTTGCAAACGGAGCAGCACTTTTTCTCATCCGACGAACCATCTTCCTACACATGACAACAAAAAATAAACATTCAAGTATTTATCAAAATTCGAAAAGGGCAAAAAACAGAGCCCACCAAAAAAATGAAAAGAAAAATAGACACCGATCAACAGCGCCATGCAAGAAATCGAACTTCCAATCTCACCTTTAGGCTAGATTCCATCTCCTTCACCATCTAACTTCGCTCTCCCAAAAAGGGTTTTCTTGTTCACTGCGTCGGGATACAGACAAGTAACTAGAGAAAGAGAAAAATGAATGCTGGAGATTACAGGGCTACTCTGCCATTTTTGCCGACGGGACGAGCAAGGGGTTGAGCAGCTCTGGAGTGAATCCCAAAAAGGATGGCAGAATTTTGAGGGGTGTGATCAGGGACGAACCGACGTACACGTGAAGCTGGCCACTGATCGAGAAAGGGCAAAATGATTGAACGATAGAACCCTAATTGGGAGTCGTGAAATGACGGAAAAAGCCCTGGATTAGGGGGTTTTAGATGACGTCATGCCCGCCAAAAGGGTTAAAAAAATTCTTAGAATGGGCGGCACCGTCCACGTGTCGCCTTGCATGCGCTGCTTGGCTTTGTCTTCATCTGCTGCGGGAAAAAGAATCCAATAAATTATTGGCAAACTTAATTAAAATTATGAATCTATTAATATTAATATAAAAAGAGGGGATGATAGTTATTTGAAAAAATCAACTAAAAAATCAGCAAAAAAAAAAATATTTGGTTTCCCTCCTAAATGTTTAGGATATTGAGTAATTTTTTGGCCAAATTTAAAAAATTTTCGCCTATTTATATTGAGTAATCTTTTTGACAAAAAATTCTATAATTTGAACTGTGTAAATTCGGCCAGTTTAGAAAGAAAATCGGCCATATTTCGTTGAAATAGAAAAAATCGGCCCTAAGAGCATCTCTAATGCATTCTTTTGAAAGAGTAAAAAGTTATCCACCTCATCTAGATAGAAAGTGTGTAAATAATTTATCCTCCAATGCATTAGATTATGGGTCCTTTCATGCTTATGTGTAATAAATTAATGTTAACATTGTGAAGCTCACTTTCTAATTTTTCACATTCTTTCTAACATGATGACTCAGCATTTTGATAATTATTTGACACAAATTTTGAGCTTTTCATAAACTTGGAAAAATCCCACCCTTACATTTATCCAAGAAACATTTGAGAATTTATTTGAATACAGTATAATTATTTGATGAGTTACAACTAAAATTTTAAAAAGTTATCAATAATAATGTCCTGAAAAGTAAAATATTATGTTCATGATATTTGTTTGTTGAGTTATTGCAATTTTAATATTTTGTTGTTTTATTTTGAACCGATTAAAAAAATATTTATTGTGTGGTTATACATATTGTAACTGAGAAATTATTGAATAAATAATAATTTTATAAATTTGATGATATAAATAAAAATTAACTGAATCAACAAAAAATAACATCATGTATATAATTATTTGAATTTGTGGTTTTTTTCTAATATACTCTTTGATTTTATTAATAATTGAATAAATCTACATATACAAATTATATGGTTGTTGAATGGATGCATTGGAGGCAACAATTCAAATGAAAGTCCTATTCTTTTAACATTCAGTTCATGTAGATTAAACATTAATACATTGATTGACATGTGTTCAAATTTAATTAATGTTGAAAGTTGAGCATTGGAGATGCTCTAAATCTATCTCTATCGGATATGTAAACTTTTTATTCATTTAAGAACTACAACTAAATTATTATTGAGCTTTTTATTCATTTAAGAACTACAACTAAATTATTATTGTCTTGCATATCAGAGCATCTCCAATGCTCAAATGTTGTTGTGATAAATTACATTTAACATCAACACATTTGGTAATATCACAATTTTTAATCATCCAATGTACAATGGGATCACAAATGTTGTGATGATGTGAACATAATTAATGTCTACAATATAGAGAAGAATGTGGTTCATCCACATTCTCCTCCACGCTCTAGCTAGCCAATGAAAAGAAGAGAGAGAAGTATTCTTACCATTTTCAAGCTATTTGATTATTTTCTTAATTCATATTAAAATTTTAATATTTGGTAAATTGATAATATTGTAATTAGACTACATTGTACATTGGAGATGATTTTTTAATTTAATAGTTGTGAACTCAACATTTTTCCTATATGGTTCACAATCTATTTAATTTTTTAACATTTGTCAAAATTTATCCTATAACAACATTAGAGCATTGGATATGCTGTCATAGAATACGATTTTACTTACTAAACAATCGGATTACTTTTCGTTTTTTTTTAATTTAAATCTCATTATACTAATCAATTTAAATTTAAATATTTATAATAGAAATCTCAAATCAGCTTAATTATCCGATTTTGTTTCTAATTATAAACATTATATAAAAATATTATATATAAATTTGAATGAACAAAAAGAAAGACATATATAAATCCTAAAAATCAGAAAAATAATAGATGAACAACAACAAAAAAAAAATAATAATTTAATTTGACTTCATAAGCATTAAGTATAATCATCGTCTGATCAATCAAACGTTATCTAATAATCTCAAATTGTGAAAATTTGACATATGCAAGATCATTCTTCAAACAAGAAAAGAAGAAAAAGACATTTTTTTTTTTAATATTTACCGTAATTTTGATTAAAAAATGATCAATATTTATCTTACCAAATATTAAAGATATATTTGAATCTACACTACAAGAAATCTGTGAAAAAGTGACGAATTTTGTGTGACGAATAAATAATCGTCACCATATGTGGCCTTTCGGTGACGACTGTTCCATTCGTCATCTTAGAATGGTTTATTCGTCACATAATCTAACTTTTTATGACGACTTTTCTCAAACGTCACTTATAAATAAAAATTCGTCACATTTATACAATTTATGACGAAATTCCATGTGACCAAAAAAAAGTCGTCACTGTTGTACGTATTTACAATGACGATTACGACTAAATCGTCCCTATTTTATTATTTAATGTGACGATACATTATAATACTTGAAAAATCGTCACATTTTATACAAAAAATGATGAACTTCCATGTGACAAAAAAGAGTCGTCACTGTTGTAGGTATTTAAAATGACGCTTTCGATTAATTCGTCACGATATTATTATTTAATGTGACGAAACATTGTAATACATAAAAAGTCGTTACATTTTATACGCAAAATGACTAAGTTCTGTGTGACATAACAGCGTCGTCACTATTGTAGGTATTTAAATGACGCTTTCGATTAATCCGTCACTATTTTATTATTTAATGTGACGAAACATTATTATACACAAACATTCGTCACAATTTGTATAGAAAATGACGAAGTTCCATGTGACGAAACAGTGTCGTCACTGTTGTAGATGTTTAAAATGACGCTTTCGACTAATACGTCACTATATTGTTGGTTAATGTGACGAAACATTATAATATATAAAACTTCGTCCCATTTCATACGAAACATGACGAAGTTCCATTTGACAAAACAGTTCCGTCACTATTGTTGGTATTTCCAGTGACGCTTATGATTAGTTTGTCACTATATTATTATTTACTGTGACGAAACATTATAATACATAAAAATTCGTCACTTCATAAGAAACATGACGAAGTTCCATGTGACCAAAGAATACTCTATTCATGACACCATTTACTGTCGTCCTTAAAGCCACATAATTTATGACGACTATGTTTGTCATGCATTATATTTTATCATTATTTAGTAAATAGTAATGAAAATTTTATGTAATTTATAAATAGGCTTTCATAATATCTAGTATTATTTAATAATTAAAATTATGCTTAGTAATCTTGAATCTTGAAACTTCCTTCGGTTAAATTTATCATTTTTTTGCTCAAGGCGATCGAATTTTATAGTACATGTGAAGAACCATAGTTCGTGATTCAATGGCCGCTTCTTAGAAAATTCACGGCCCTGGTTCGACGGAAGAATGGATTGTCGTACTATAACACTTCAGAAGAAGAAGATGAACAATACACCAATAAAAAAAAAAAAAAGATGAACAACACAACTACCATATAGCTTATTAGCCTTATTAATAACATAAAATTAATAAAGTGTCATTAAGATTCCAAAAAATACCAATTTAAACCAAAAAAAAAAAAAAAAAAAACAAATGAAAAGAGGTCACAACCCCAAAACCGTACCTCATTCTCTATTCATCTCCCTCAATCCTAAATCGCAGAGCAAAACCTAGCCAAAATTCACCTCAGTAATCCCAACAATCTCCACACCAAAAATCTCAATTTTCAATCTAATCCAATGTTATCAAAACCGGACCGGACCGGCCGGTTCGACCGGTTGGACCGGGAACCGGACCTAGTACCGGTCCGGTTTGAGTGTTTAAACCGCTGAGAACAAGAACCGATTTCGAACCGTTCGAACCGGTTCAAAACCGGTAAAACCGGTGAACCAGTCGAACCGGTTCTAAAATTTGAAAAAAAAAATTAATGAAATAAAAAAAAAAATCAAACAAAAGGAAAAGAGTGAGAGAGTATTTTGATGTTTGATGAATTGTAATGTTGGATTGAATATATTTTGATTTGATGACTTTGTAGTTTATATTTGTAATTTGGATTGTCTTGCTTTAGATAATAGATATTGAATTATTAATCTATTGTTTTAGTGAACTTAATTTAGTATTGCTTATGGTAAACTATACTTAAAATATTGATTTATCAACTCTTATTTAGAAAAATATCATTATATGCTATAAAATTAATATAAAATTAATGATAAAAATATATATATATATATATATATAATTATATATTATACATATAAAATAAATAAATAAATTGTATATTAGTTAAACCGATTCGACCGGTTCGACCACTGGTCCGACCAGTGAACCATTGAACCAGTAGCTTCACCGGTTCAATGACCGGTCCGGTTTTGATAACATTGATCTAATCTCTCAATATCTAACCCAAAAACTGCATCAATCCTCCGCCATTGATGACGTCTGCCACTTGGTATTCGAAATCGTCGCCGAGGACGAGGACAAGGGCGGTGAGGACGAGGACGGAGGCGGCGATCTCATCTCCCAATTGCAACCTAAAAACTGAATCAATTTCACGAGGGAAGAAGAATTCAGCCTGGAATTCGAATCATTTCCCAATTGGTGCTCGAAATCGTGGGCGAGGACGAGGACTTAGGTGGGGATCGTGCGTTATCTTGAGGTCGACGAGGCGGTTGAGGGTAAGACTGGGGGTGGTACAGCCACTTCTCGATGGAGGTCCGGTCGTCGGCCAAGCAGGTGCAGAGGCTCGGTAGAGTCATCATCACGCCTAGAAGCTCGCCTGCTCAGATTTCTGCAACTCTTTCCGATCGAGCCATTTAGGATGTTGCTGCTGCTCATGCTAACTTATAGATTGTTAGTGCTCGGTCGGTTGGCTCTTTGAGATCAACTGAATAGATTGTTAGTGCTCG